TTTAGTAAAGACAGGGTTTCACCATGTTAGCCAGGCTGTTCTCAAACTCCTGACCTCGTGATCTGCCCACCTCAGTCTCCCAAATGCTGAGGCTGATATGTATGATAATGCTGGCATTACGGGTGTGAGCCACCGTGCCCAGCCGTGTCTTCTTTCTATCCCAAACACCTGGCACGTTACCTGATACAGCAGGAGTTCAGCAGCAATTCTGAGAATAAGTGGATGGGTGGAGAGATGAACGAGTGACTAAATAAATTGATAGACGAGAATGCCCCCTCCATAACAGCAACCCATCTTTCTTTAGCTTTAGGGACAGTGGCCCATCACTCTCCTTTGGAGTCCCACGGTACCCCATAAAGTGGCTTACTTGTCTGAGAATCCCTCCCCACTATGCTCTAAGAGCTACGGCTCTTCTAGGTTATCCAGGCATTTGGGAGGGCATCATGCTGTTCTGGGTACCTATCTTTGTTATTGGTAATATGAAGGCACACCTTCCAGCTTGGCTTTATGAGGGGTTCGCTCAATCCAGCCAGGAGACATGATGAAATAAATACTTTCAATCTACTTTCCACCCACCTGTCACTCCTTTCAGACTTGGGTAAGATACAATAATGCTATCTTTCCAGCTTAGAACACAGCACACTGAAAACCCTTCCAGATGTGAAGACAGACTATTTTTAAGTACTGTGTTTCTTGCAATCACTATATACAGTGCTGCTCAGAGGCATAAAGTGTGAGAAAGCTCCCCGGTCTGAAGAGTGGACACTTTCATCCTTGTGAAGGTATCAGCGAACTGAAAGCCAAATGATTTGGTGCAATGATTTGACACAGTTCCAGCAGTTAAACCTGCTTAACTTATATTGTGAAAAAGACTGTAGATAAACACAAGCAGGAAACTTGAAGTCATAGTAGATGGAGATTTGAAAGCAACCCAGGTCCAGGACTGATACTCAATGTGTAGAGGGAGAAGAAACAGAAATGCTTCTTGATAGGCAGCCAGGAACTCTAATGATTTATTTATTGAGATGAGGTCTCACTCTGTTTCCCTGGCTAGAGTACTGTGGCACAACCACGGCTCACTGCAGCCTCAACTTCTCGGGCTCAGGTGATCCTTCCACCTCAGCCTCCCAAGTAGCTGGGACTACAGGTGTGTGCCACCATACCCAACTAATTTTTGTACTTTTTGTGCAAAAGGGTTTTTCCATGTTGTTCAGGCTGGTCTCAAACTCCTGGGCTCAAGCAATCCATCAGCCTAGGCCGCCCAAACTGCTGGGATCACCAGCAACGAGCCACCACACTGGCTATCTTATGCTTTTTGATGCTAAAATTCTGGAAAGTGTTTGATATGGTTTGGATTTATGTCCCTGCCCAAATCTCACGTTGAATTGTAATCCCCAGTGCTGGAGGAGGGACTTGGAGGGTGGCGATTAGGTCATGGAGGCAGATTTCCCCTTTGCTGTTCTTGTGATGGTTAGTGAGTTCTCATGAGATCTGTTTTTTTGTTTTGTTTTTTTGAGACAGAGTCATGCTCTGTCACCTAGGCTGGCATGGAGTCCAGTTCACTGCAACATCCACCTCCTGTGTTCAAGTGATTCTCCTGCCTCAGCCTCCCTAGTAGCTGTGACCACAGGTGTGCACCACCACGCTCAGCTAATTTTTGTAATTTTAGTACTGAAGGGGTTTCACCATGTTGGCCAGGCTGGTCTTGAACTCCTGACCTCAGGTGATCCGCCCACCTCGGCCTCTCAAATTGCTGGGATTACAGGCATGAGCCACCATGCCCAATAGAGATCTGGTTGTTTAAAGGTGTGTAAGACCTCTCCCTCTTCTCTCTCTTCCTCCTGCTCCAGCCATACAGGACATGCCTGCTTCCCCTTCGTCTTCTGCCATGATTGTAGGTTTCCTGAAGCCTCCCAAGCCATGCTTCCTGTACAGTCTGAGGAACTGTGAGTCAATTAAACTTCTTTTCCTTATAAATTGCCCAGTCTCAGGTAGTTCTTTATAGCAATGCGAGAATGGACTAATACAACATTCAACATAAAGTGCGTGTTTAAGAGAGACTGGAGCTTATTATAAACCAAGACCTACTTAAAGGGCCTGTAGACTATTTGGATGAGAGAGTGTACAGTCAGTCCAACCTTGCTTTGAATACCAGCTCTACCGTTTCTGGGGCTGGAAAGTTACTCACCTCTTCACCTGTAAAATAAGGATCATGATATGAACTTAGAGTGTTGTTGATAAGATTACATGAGATAATGGGTATGTGATACCCAGCTCATAACAGGTACCTAATAAAGAGCAGCTTCTTAAATTATAAAATTCTCTTAAAGGAACACACACATGTGTATGTGCAAACACATTCACACAAACACACACATGCACACACATCACTCATTTCACAGAGAAATCTTTGAGGTCAAACAGGGCACCGGTCTTCATGGCAGCATCAGAATTAGGAGCTCCACATTCCCCGACCCTGTCCTTCACTCAGGTCTCTGAGCTCCCTCATAAAGAAGGGGGTTAAAGAATGGGCAATACGGAGATGCTGAATTAGTCAACAAATGCATGCATAAGCTCAGATAGCTTCTGACATCACCAATGCTGTGCAATTTACTTGCTCTAAAAACATTTATCTACTGGGCAATAATTATAGCCAAAGCAAAGCATAAACCACACATAGAGGCAAAGATAAGACAATGTGGTCCTTGTCTTCAAGATCTCACTGCCTAAAGAAGCAAAATTCAAGCAGGATATTAGATTCACTTTAGATCACCAATTAGGTTATTATTACATGTATTGCAACTAATTGGAAAGGATCCTGCCACGTATCACAACAATGTGTATAAATGTAATTATACTCCTACTTAAAACTACTCCAGAATTGTTTCTTCCATTCTCTATAGCATGCGAGGCTTTAAATCTGGCACTGATTACTACAACAATCTCATCACCACAAATGTGGTAGCATTTTCCCATGAAAGAAAAAAAGGGATGGGCATGGTGACTCACACCTGTAATCCCAGCACTTTTGGAAGCCAAGGCGGGTGGCATGTTTGAGCCTAGGGATTCAAGATCAGCCTGGGCAACATGTTGAAACCCTGACTCTACAAAAAATACAAAAATTAGCCAGGCAGGGTGGCACATGCCTGTAGTCCCAGCTAGTCTGGAGACTGAGGTGGAAGGATCAATTGAGCCCTCCTGGATCGGGAAGTTGAACCCACCGTGAGCTGTGATCACACAACCGCGCTCCAGCCTGAGATGACAAAATGAGACCCTGTTTCAAAAAAGAAAAAGAAAAAAAAAGACAAAGCCATTCAGAGAACTGACTTCCTATGAAACAGTTATATGAAATACTGCCCTAGGATTTTCAACATTTTAGTTTTTAAGAAGAATTTTAGGGTATAGTTATGAAATCATATTTATTCCCAGGAAGGGAAGAATTTGTATTTCTATTTATTAAAGAACCAAGTCAGATTATTAAAACTAACTGACAAGAATATGCTTGCTATGAAGGTACCAGATCATAAGTAGCGTCAGGATTCCCTCACTCTGTTAGTATGGTAGAAAATAAATAAATAATAAAACAGCCCATATTTGTGAATCCTACACTATCTTGGGTTGTTGCAGCCATTAGAATTTCACCTGTGTCATCCCGGAGCCAGAACTGAAGAAAGCTATCTTTTCCATCCCTCTGCCTTCCAAACTTTAGCGCCCCCAGAAAGATGAGACTCTTTCTCACCTCCATAAATGTCACCGCCTTCCACCAAAACCCACTCTTTGCCTCCTCAGAGGCAGCCTTCCTCCTTCACGTGCAAGGTGAAGCCCTCCAGCAGGGCTCTCTACCATTTCCCTTTCTTCCTCGTGAGAACTGCTGTTCTCTCTGGCTTCCCAGGCCTCTCAACTCTCCTGATCTAGTCCCTTGCACCACAGCCCCATCGATGACTCTCTGGCTTTCCTACAGCCCCTCACCACCACAGCCCACCCCTGCCAAGCCCTCACCCATCGCCCAGAAGTGTTGCCGTGCTTCTTTTTTTTTATTTATTTTTTTTTTTGAGACGGAGTTTCGCTCTTGTTGCCCAGGCTGGAGTGCAATGGCGCGATCTCGGCTCACCGCAACCTCCGCCTCCTGGGTTCAGGCAATTCTCCTGCCTCAGCCTCCTGAGTAGCTGGGATTACAGGCACCCGCCACCATGCCCAGCTAATTTTTAGTATTTTTAGTAGAGATGGGGTTTCACCATGTTGACCAGGATGGTCTCGATCTCTTGACCTCGTGATCCACCCGCCTCGGCCTCCCAAAGTGCTGGGATTACAGGCTTGAGCCACCGCGCCCGGCCTGCCGTGCTTCTTAATGCTGCAATTCAAGTTGTCTGCTTGCGTTTTCTCATGGATAGTTTTTCCTTAATATCCAGGGTAGGAAAAGGCCTTAGTACAGTGCCTGATACACAACAAGTATTCAAAAACAGCAAACCTGATGATTACTACTACTGTGATTCATATTGTTTCAGCCCCATAAATCCACTAAAACGACTGTCTCAGGCCACTGACAGCTGCTTCACCTGCACACCTGGTGAGCTCTTCTCTACCTCAGCCTCATGGACCTTGGGCAGGTTAATGTAACCCTGCTTAGTCTAAATCCACATATTTAAAATTCTTTCCTTCTTTGAGTTCTATCCCAGCATTCCACAGAGAGTTCAGAACCAAGGAGTTAATCAGCACACAAAGGTGGACTTTAACTTGAAAATCCAAAGCACATTGGCCTGCTGCGGCCTCTGGCCACTCACCCAAAGCAGATGCAGGACACAGACCCTCCCTCCCCCACACTGTCACCTGCCTCACCATCGCTTCTTGGAGGTCTCAGCTCACACGTCACCTCCCAGAGAGAACTTCCCTGACCACCAGGACCCTCTCAACTGAAGGCAAGACTAGAGATCCAGAAGGATAAAGCCAACACTGCCATCCACCCCACCAGCTGGTCTCTGGTGGATGCACTCCCTGCTCACCTGGATCAACGTCTCCAGCTCCTGGGGGCTCACACAGACGTGATCCCGCAGGAATTCCGCCTTCTCCAAGGCAATGGTATTCTTCTGGCTGCTCTCAAAGGGCTGCTCCAATGCCCGGAAGACGAGACCGCCGGTGACGAGGTAGACCACCACAACCACAAAGATGGCAACCACCGTCTTCCACTTCATGACGGTCTGCAGGCCCCCCTGGGAGGTGCCTTCCATCCTGGCTACCACTGTGGCTCGGGAGGAAATGGACAGGCGCGGAGTTGGAGTCGGAGTCGGAGCGGGAGCCGGGGGTTGCCCGTTAGTGGCGCTCTTGGGCTGGCACACGGGTGCTGCTGCGGGAACGGCCACTGAGGATTCAGGATAGGGGACAGAGAAGAAGAGAGTTTGTTTATAAATAAACACAAAACGTGTCAGAAACAAAGTACAGATGTCTTCTTTGAGCCAGCTTTCAAATGTGAGGATTAAACAGTTGTTCAACAAGCCTGCAGTTAGGGAATTTGATCAGTTGCTAGGTACCCATTTGAGTTTTAAAAAATAAGCATCAGGAGTCCCAGTTTCAAAAAAAAAAGTATAAATTGAGTTTGAAATGCTTACATTTTTCTACAAGGGTCCAAACTGTTATTTATAATTCACCTCCTCCCTTAGCTTCCTTGTTGAAACAATGTGTAAGGAACACAACAAATCACCATATTTAAAAACAAACATGTTGTTGAACATGGAGAGGAAGTAAATAGGAGAGGGATACCCAACCACTCTATCCAAGTACCAAGGGCTGGTGATACCAAGAGCAGAGAAGAAAGGATCATCTAGAGACTTCAAAAGTCCTCTCAGTGGCCGGGCACAGTGGCTCACACCTGTAATCCCAGCACTTTAGGAGGTCAAGGCAAGTGGATCACAAGGTCAGGAGTTCAAGACCAGCCTGGCTAACATGGTGATGGTGAAACGCATCTCTACAAAAAGTATAAAAGTAGCTGGGTGTGGTGGCATGCACCTGTAATCCCAGCTGCTCAAGAAGCTGAGGGAGGAGAATTGCTCGAACCCGGGAGGCTGAGGTTGCCATAAGCCAAGATCGTGCCACTGCATTCCAGCCTGGGTGACAAAGCAAGACTCTATCTCAAAAAAAAAAAAAAAAGTCTTCTTGTCACAAAACAAAGGAAAAAAGGATGAGCTTGTTATATCTTAATAGAAGATATGACTTAGGCATAGCCACTCCTGATTTATTAGTAATAGAACTTTTCTTCTGTAGCTTTCCAATAACATGTCATTGGAAAGAAAATGTCGCCTGGTTTTCTAAGCACATAGAATTCTCTAAGGTCCCTGTTCTCTGCAGGGCAATTTCATTACCTTGGAAATAAATAGGTCCAGCTGGAGGCTCTTCTGCAATGGCAGGAAGTTTGGGGTTGTGACGCACACGCAATGCTATCATGCATCACAGAAATGTCTTGTGCAGCAAGAAACAGCCACTGTATTTCAGTTTTATTCTCCCTTTATTATTTGAATTCTTATTATGTCTCTGTCATGGTGAAGGCTGGCTGTTGTGTAAATAAGGTATTAGGAGACGGCAAACCTAATTACCTAAGTGGGGTAAACAGTCTCACCCCAGCAGGGGGTTAAACTGCTCCATCACTGTTGGAAAAGGCAAAGAGCAGGCTATGTCACTCCCTGTTCAAAACGCCTGGCTGTCAGGGTGGTGGCTTAGAAGAATCTAAGTTTGCAAAAATCTGCCTCTCCTCCTAGACCCTAGAAATCAGTTTCTCTCTTTGGAAACTGAGCTGAACATCAGTCTTCTATGGCATATCCAATCCAATAAAATCACTCCGTGTTAAATTTCCCTCAGATTTACATGAATGCAAAATTGTCTGGAATCTTGGATCAAAAGATCTATACATTAGAATCAGCAAATTGGGTATGATGTTCTTGCTAACCTTTCCCTAAAGACGCTGCATTCACTTTCCCCCTTGCTACTGTTGATGCAGAGAAGGTGAGCCTTGCCTAGTGTGGCTTTCTTTTCCCACTGCCCACATTTCCCATTCATTCTGCCTCCTCCCTGCATTCCATCCCTTGGAGCCTCATCCAGCCCACTGTCACATCTTGCCTGGACCAGCCCAGTAGCCTCCCAAGGGACCTCCTGGCTGCCATGTGTACCCTACTTCTGACCCAGAAATCTCAGATTAAATATCACTTCTGGGAGCACCTTCTCCCCTCCTACCTTGGACGTAGGTAGAATAATGACCCACAAAGAGGTCCACATCCCAATCCCTAAGACATATGAATGTTATCTTACATGGCAAAAGGGATCCTGCAGCTGTGATTAAGAATGCTGAGATGGGACCGGGTGTGGTGGCTCATGCCTGTAATCCCAGCTCTTTGGGAGGCTGAGGCGGGCAGATCACAAGGTCAAAAGATCAAGACCATCCTGGCCAAGAAGGTGAAACCCCGTCTCTACTAAAAATATAAAAATTAGCTGGGCTTGGTTGCATGCACCTGTAGTCCCAGCTACGCGGGAGGCTGAGGCAGGCGAATCGCCTGAATCTGGGAAGCGGAGGTTGCAGTGAGCCGAGATCATGTCACTGTACTCCAGCCTGGGCAACAGAGCAAGGCTCAGTCTCAAAATAATAATAATAAAGAATGTTGAGATGGGAGATGATCTCAGATTATATGGTTGGCCTCAATATAATGACAAGAGTTCTTTTAAGAAGCAGGGCAGCCAGAGAGAGAAGGGATGTGAGGACAGAGCACAGGTTGGAGTGATGCACCCATGAGCCAAGGAATGTGGTCCCTCTAAAAGCTGGAAAAGTCAAAGGGAGGACCCTCCTCTAAAGCCTCCCGAAAGAAAATGTACTGCTTACCCTTTGATTTTGGCCAAGTGAGGCTGATCTTGAACTTCTGACTTCCACAACCATATAATAATAAATTCGTGTTGCTTTAAGCCACTACATTTGTGGCAATTTGCTACGGAAGCCCCAGGAAACTAATTTGCCCTCTTAGTTCAGGTCTCCTGTATGGTTTGGCTATGTCCCTACCCAAATCTCATTTTAAATTGTATTCCCATAATCCCCACATGTCGGGGGAGGGACCCAGTGGGAGTAATTAAAGAGCGGGGGCAGGTTTTCCCATGCTGTCTGTAACAGTGAATAAGTCTCACAAGATCTGATGGCTTTGTAAAGGTGAGTTCCCCTGTACAAGCTCTCTTGCCTGCTGCCATGTAAGAAGTGATTTTGCTCCTCATTCACCCTCCATGATTGTGAGACCTCCCAGCCACATGGAACTATAAGTCCATTAAACCTCTTTCCTTTATAAATTACTCAGTCTTGGGTATGTCTTCACTAGCAGCAGGAGTTAGACTGAAAGTCCCATGAGGGCAGGCACCCTGTCTACGCCTCACCTCTGCACGACTAGTGTTCTGCACAGTGCATGGCATATGGTGGGTAGCCAATCAATGATGGTAGAATAAGTGAATTCAGGGTGGAAGGAAAGCTGGCACAACCACACCACACAGACAACATGGATGAGGAGCATCAAACAGCAAACAGTTTGGCACTCCAGCAACACCGAAAGCAGGTCCTCAAACACAGCGGTGCTCTGTTCACACCTCCACACCTTTGCAGGTATTGTCCTTTGGACAGTAACCCCTTCCCCACCCTCATGTGCCTGCAAATCTCTCATCCTCTTCAGTCTCAGCCAAAAGCCGCTTCCTCTATGAAGTCGCCCTGGGCTCTTCCAGGCAGGCTCAGCATGCCGATCTTCCTCACTAGCCTACCAACTTCTTGGAGTCAGAAAGTTCATCTTTTAATCACTGGATCTCAATTCCTTGGCAAAGTGCCTGGCGCAGAGCAAATGTTGTTTTCTGGTGGTGGTGGTGGTGGTGGTAATTCCTTCACATAAAAGCCCCATCAGAATCACCAGCACTCTCAAAAACAAGCCATTTATTTAATGCTGAATGGGCACAAAGGGCTGCGCTATGGCAGGGATGAGGCACAGTCCCTCCCAATCCCTCCCAGCCTCGGGGGCTTGCCAGTCAACTGAAGGAAAGTGCTCCACAGCACCAGGCAAGCAACATTAGCTTAAAGCCTCATCAGCTGACATGCAATGGCATGAGCATGGAGGGGAGTGGGGGCTGGGTCTCCTCCATTGACCAGCATCATGGATGCTTCCCAAGCTTCTAGCACCCCTGAGTCTGGGCAGAACTGGGCTTGAGAAAGGTCTCTTCAGGCCAGGTCCTGGTTGGTGCCAGTTTGCTAAGAGATTGTCCCTTAGGGCAGAGTTTAAACAGAATCCACCCATTTCTGAGCTTCCAAAGCATCAGAGCAAAAATCAGAGTTTCATCCCAAACCCATGAGTGACTGCATGACCTTGAAACTGTGACTTAGTTTCTCTGTTTGCTTACTGTGAAATGTGAATAATAACAGCCACCTTTTTTTCTAAACGTCCACAGGGTTCTCGGGAACATCAAATGAGCAGTCCTGGTTTACTGGCTGGAGTACATGTGTAGATGTCAGGAGTACCGGCAGAGATCGCAGAATGTTACAAAACCTTTTGTACATGTGACTAAAAATGGAGTTGGTTGCTTTGGCAAAGAAGATTGCACATTTCAATGGCTGGAAAAGGATATGGATTGTGCTTAAGTTGAATATTTTTTTTTTTGAGACGGAGTCTTGCTTTGTTCCCCAGGCTGGCGTGCAGTGGTGCAATCTCAGCTCACTGCAACCTCCACCTCCCAGGTTCAAGTGATTCTCCTGCCTCAGCCTCCTAAGTAGCTGGGACTACAGGCATGCACCATCATGCCTGGCTAATTTTTGTATCTTTAGTAGAGACGGGGTTGCACCTTGCTGGCCAGGCTGGTCTTCCGGTCCTGACCTCAGGTGATCTGCCCACCTCGGCATCCCAAAGTGCTGGGATTACAGGTGTGAACCACCGCACCTAGCCAAGTTGGATAAATTTTTAAAGGGTGTTTAATTAATCCCTTTCTTCTCCTTAGAAGCCATAATTGCTCTCACCCTAATACAAAGTTACTGTGTTTGTATGTGACCTGGGATGAATCACTGAAGGTCTCTGTGCCTGGAGCCGACAAAGAAGCAAACTTGGCCAGATGGTGATGAGGATGGTGGTGCTGATGGTGGTGAAGGGGACAGGAGCCGGAACTGCCTACTGGGTACTTACTCATGCCTGTCACTCTGACAAGCACTCTGCTGACATTGCTGCATTCGGTCCTCATTACAAGGTATTATCACACTGCATGAGGGCAGGTAGATGCCCCAGAAACAGATCCCAAGAAGGGATTCAGTGTGCATGGATTTTATTATGATTCGGAATGCATGTGTAAGCGAAAATGAGAGGGAGTCAGGGA